GGTAAGAATCTGCCTGCCAATGTAGGAGACATCGTTTCGACCCCTGGTCCAGGAAGATCCCACATACTGAGAGGCAACTAAGTCCATGTGCCACAACAGCTGAAGCCTGTGCACCCTAGCTTCTGTGCTCCGCAACAAAGAGAAGCCACCGCAGTGAGAAGCCCTCACAACTAGAGAAAGCCCCCATGCAGCAACGAAGACCCAGCACAGCCAAAAATAAATAAATTTGAAAGTTGTGGTGAGGATTAAATACATTTAGCATAGTACCTGGTAACTAGTGAATTCTCTGTGCATGTACACTGGAATTTTTCTGATTATTATCTAAATGGTAGGGAACTGTCTGTACCAGTCAGACACCTAGGAAGTGAACTAAGGAGAAAAAGACCAACAGGTCCTGATTCTGGGAACAGGTTCTCAGAAGGTAAGAAATCCATCAGACAAGTCTTTCTGCATATTCCTAGTATAGGGCAAGGGTAAAAAGATAAAAAGTCATTCCTGGATGTTGCCCTGAATAGTGTATAGCTGGAGAAGAGAGCAGGGAAGATGTGGAAACTCCTGTCATCCACGATAGAAAGCAACAGAGGCCGTGAGCCACCCAGAGGAATGTTGCTCTGAATGTGGTAAAGAGGTGACATCAGAGCTGAGCCTCGATGCTTGAGAAGAAGGGAAGAAAGGCCTTCAGGCAGGGTGGACAGCATGGGCAAAGGCACTGGGGCAGCTCAGACAGCAGGGAAACTTGATTCAGTTCCAAGATCTGCTGAGTACTTTCCATGGACGAAGCACTACCACAGATTAGTTATTGTGTTCAATCTTGTCACCCACACATTGAGGTTGGTATTATTATTCCCATTTTATAGATGGGTATACTGAGGACAAGAAAGGAGTAGTCCCTGGCCCAGGGTCAGCCATTAATGAATGAATGTTGGAGCCAGGCTTCTAACAAGCCCCCCACCCCGAACTCAAGACCATGCTTGTCTAGGCCTGGCTTCACCCTCAGAGAGTCTGGCAGGAGAGCAGGAGGAACCAGGCCATTCCTGACACCTTGGCCCAGAAAGGCTGTTCTCTTCTCCTTTGATGGCCCCGCATTCACACTATGAACTCCTGCCTCTGGGCCACCTCGCTGATTCCTGCACATCACCTTTCAAGGCCAGGTCATATGTCCAGAGGCTTCCTGACACCCTGGCCCACAGCTGTCTCTCCCAACCCTGGCACCCAGGTGGGCACCTTGCACTTTCTCTCTTTGAGGTTTCCTCAGGTGACTCAGCCCCCACCTCGGTGCTGGGTCCAGCTATCACTTCCACAGACCCCATCTTGCCTTCACGGTGCCACTGTCCTGGTGGGGAGATTAGACTAGTCAAATGATCACACCTGTTCTGTAAAATTACTAACCAGGTACTTCTGAAGGGGGAGCCACGGGTCACCTGTTAGTGAGTTCAAGAGGTGTTGAGATCATTAGGCAAGATCTGATGTAATGGTGGAGTGAGGGTGGTCAGGGGAGCTCCTGGGGAGGTGGAAGAATGGGACATGTGTGCTGAGATCTGAAAAGATCAGATCAGAACTTCTCTGAGGAGAAGTCTATCAGAGAGGCTCTGGCAGACGAAATAGCATGTGCAAAGGCCCCAAGACAGGAGGAAGCCAAGTGTGTCTAAAGAGAGCAGAAAGAGATCCCTGGGGGCTGGACCACAGGAAGTCAGAGGAAAACTTGACAAGAGGCTAGGGAGGCTCAGAGGGCACTGGGGCCAGGTGGGGACTTTGGATTTTCTCCCAAGACCCTTGGGAAGCTAGTGGCAGCAGTGGGGGTGGGCCTGGGAAAGGGTGGAGTGGCCCCGCATCGATGGTCAGCTGAACCTCCCTAAGCTCTAGCACACACTCCCCACGGAGCTGCCAAGCCCACAGGAGGTCTGGGCGTGTGTTGGCCAGCACGCCTCAGCAGCTGGGACTGGGACTGCCCCACCTGGGGTCAGGTCGGTGGCCTCCACCTTGGCCTGGAGTAGTGGGCTTGAGACCCAGTGATGCTCGGACTCCATGCTGTGGATTCAGTGCCTTCTTGAGACTGGCTGATGCTTTTTCAAAAGAAAGATAAGCTTCTGAGAAAGGGAGCAGTAGCTGATGTAAGTTTGGCCACAGTCCACAGGAGAGCAGCCCAGGAATTGTGGCTTTTTTCCCCCTCAGTCATCAATATCAAGGGCAGCGAAGTGGCCAGCTGCCCAACCAGGCTCCCGGAGTCTCTGCAATCAGCCTGCTGATTCCCATCATAAACAATTTTGTTTTGTTTTGCTGGTGTTTGGGGTTCATAAGTCTCTGAGAAGAGTACATTCCCTGAATATGAAAGCCATCCACCATCAGGGGAGCAGTCCAGAGATCTTGTCAGGAGACAAGGTCAGGTTGTCAGACTTGACATCTCTTTTAGGAAATCTGTACACTGGTTGGTTCGTTTGGTCAGAAGCAGATGCCAACTTGAGGAAGAAACCAGCACTTTGTAACTTAATGCCCCAGCCTTGAGAGTGTTTGTCCTCTCCCTGTGGCCAGATTTCACTAATCTTGTCCCAGGGGGTTGGGGGTGTGGGTGCTGGGGGAGATAGGACCTGTCCTAGACGGAGCCCCCCCAGAGTGAGTGGAGGAGCATAGGGCCGCTGCCTCCTCTCCCATCTGCTGACCCCAACCAAGCCCAAAGACATAGGAGGTGGGACCTGAGGGCAAGAAAGGAGACCCCTTTCTCTGAAAAGAATTTTCCTGCACCCAGAGGGTCCTTCTCTGAAAAGCTGCTCTCCCCCGGAGTATCACAGAGCCTAGAGCCCCAAGCAATTTGATCATGGAAGTGCTCTAACCTCCTCCCAGCCAAGCGATTTGGGGCAAATTAACCTCCTGGAGATGTGATATCTGTTTCACCGGGCTGGTGTGTGATTTAAATAAGTAATATAGAAGTACTGGTTAGATACCTAGAATATGCCAGGAATATATCTCTGCTCAGTAAATGTTTTTCCTCCTGTTCCCCATTGAGGGGAGAGAGCATCCCAGACAAATGCAGGTCCTGGTCTCTAAGCATTCTATCAGTGTCTACTGACCACTGACCTCAACCTAGATCTTGACTCAAGGCACTCAGTATATGACACCGAGCAGTGTCTCTCGGCACTTAGAGGACATAAGAGTATTATGAAATATCAGCTGTGTGACAACAGATAACTCTGTAACATGTTAGGGATAAGTGCCATGAAGACAAATGAAGAAGGGAGATGAGAGTGACAGGGTGTCCTGGTGATGGACAAGATGACATTGAAACAGGGGCCCTAATGATGTGAGGGAGTGAGCCCTGCTAGTAACTCAGGGAGGAGCATCCAGGCAGAAGGAAAGGCAGCCAGGGCAAAGATGCTGAGCGAGGACAGGTCTGACACATTCTAATAACAGGAAAGGGGACAGTGTGACTAGAGCAGAAGAAAGGGAGGCAAGAGCAAATGAGGGGCAGAGGGAACCAGGTGGCATTCCTTTGGGGAATCACAGGGCCTGGCAGGTAAGGAGTTTGGCTTTGACTGTGGGTTGGCAGGAAACCGATGGAGGGTATGGATCACGCGATCCAGCAGGTCTTGGAGGGATCCTTCTGGCCATGTTCGCCCAAGAGGCACTGATAGTGGAGAAGACCTTGAAGACACAATGTACACTCTTGACTTCACTGGCCCTCACCTCCCTGCTGGTCTGGGAGTGGTGGGGTGGGTCTGGAGTTCCTGACTGCCGGGCAGGCCTACCTCTGGCTCAGGGTCCCCTCACTCTGCTGGGCTTGGGTACAGGAGTGGGAGGACCATGGACCACCTGGGGACATTTCCAGGGGGCACCAGGGAGCCAGATAAAGTGTTTCCCCTGCAGTCAGGGAATGTGTATGGCCTGTGCATGTATGTGTGTTTGCATGTCCATGCATGGGCATGTGTGCATGCAATATGTGCCTCTCTGAATCTGCGTACATGCACATTGTGCATGTACCATTTCTGGGACAGTGTTGGGGAGTTCCGCTTCTTCTCTGACTCCTCTCTGTCCACCACACAGGTGACACCAGTGTCTCTCTCTGCTCTGTGATGTGCCTACATTGGCCAAGGACCAGTGATCCTTCATCCCCCTGTGCTCACCTGATCAGGCCCCTCTTCCCCAGGGCTGCCTGCTGCTGACCAGGCTGATAAGTCCGTTCGTGGCTGGGCTTTGCAAATAAGGCAATAATGGTTAACACATGAGAGGAATGGCAATGATATTCTGTGTGCTGTGCTCTATTAATTGTTGTTATGGTTCAGTCACTAAGTCGTGTCCAACTGCCCCAAGGCTTTCCACTAGGCGGAGTCAGTTCATTGACCACCTAGGGGCCAGGTGAAAGGGCTTTACAGGAGTGTCCTTTGCCTTGGCTGCTCCAGCTGAGCAGTGGCTCTGGCTGAAGCCAGGTGGAGCTTTGCAGATGGATTCAGAAGGAGATGGTCAGCCAGCAGCACTGGAGCCGTGGCCGCTAGGACCCCAGGCCTGGCTGGGGCACACGGGGTGGCAAGAGAGGTGGGAAGTCAGCTCCCTGACTACTTAGCAGTTGGAGGTGAAAGAAGGGAGAAGGAGTAGAGAGAGGAGGAGGAGAGGGGAGGGAAAAGACAGAAGAAAAAAAAGACATGCAAGAGGAGACCAGCAGAAGTTAGAAGCAGAGTTAGAGGAAGGAGTGATGGAAGAGGACAGGGGCTGTCCCTTCCTTGTGAGATTCTTTGGGGGAAGGACAAGGTCAGACCTGCCTTGTCTCTAAGAGGAGGCTGTGCCTCCCCTATCAGATTGGCTCCCCCAGGGCAGGGGCTGGGCCTCTCCCATCAGATTGTCGGCTCCCCAAACAGGGTCTACGTTAACCAACACTGGGGGCTTCCCAAGGATAGGGGTACATACTCCATCCACAGCCAAGACCCTCCAAGGTAGGTGATCTGCTGGGGGTTGCCGGTCACACCCCTGGGACCAGGACATCCGCCTGCCTGACCTCTCTCCTCCCCTCTCAGGGTTCACGGCCACCTTCAACATGGACACCAAGAAGCCCCGAGTCATCCCGGGCTCCAGGGCCGCCTTCTTTGGCTACACGGTGCAGCAGCATGACATCAGCGGCAGGAAGTGGTGAGTAAGAGCTGCAACCCCCCCCCCCATAGCTCCGCACCTCCCCCCACCCCGGCCCCCCATGGGCTGACAGCACAGGCCCTCACATGCAAATGCCCCCCTTCCCAGGGACTTGACTTCCTGTCCTGGCAGGTCAGGAGCTGCCTAGGATCCGCCCCGTCTATGAAACCATGAGCATCCCCTTCATAGGCCTCCATCTTCTCACCTGAGAAATGGGAATGCACACCCTCTTTCTCCTGGTTATGGGACGGCAGAGGCAGCAGGCACCAAGAACCAGTAATCACCCCCTCTCTTCCCCTCTCAGGGCCCCAGGGTCTCATCAGTTGGGGCAGCACTTCTGGTTGTGGCCGTTGGGAGAGGTGTGGAAGGTGGGCTGTCTCTGCAAGGGTGGATGTGTGTGCTCAAAGCTGAAACACAGGCCACAGTGGGGCAGAGGGAAGTGAGAGAAGGCTAAGTGTGGGAAAGGGTCAGAGAGAGCCCACGGACCTCTCTGGGGCGGGGGCAGTCAGGAGGCGGGAAGGGTCAGCCTCCTATTTCTAATATAACTTAGTTGGATTATATTTTACATGTTATATAATTTGCTCATTTCAAGTGTCAATTCAGTGATTTCTTCTGAAATTTACAGTTGTGGAGCCATCACTTGTAGGACATCAGTTGTAGGACATTTTCACACACACCCCATTTATTTAAGAATGTATTCCAATATCAAACAGCAAGGTTCAACAATGTAAAACCACAATTACTTTTGTAGCAACCCAATAGTATCTCATGGTGGGTTTAACTGGCATTTCTTTAATGACTAACAATGTTGAGTAACTTTTTGTGAATTTATTGGCCATTTTGGTATCCTATTTTATGATGTGTCTGATTCAGTCATTTGTCCATTTTTAAAATTGTGTTGTGTGTATTTTTCTTAATAATTTATAAAACTTAAAATATATATGTATTCTATATACAAATCCTTTGTCAGAGAAAAGCATTGCAAAGAACTTCTCCCTGTCTGTAGCTTGCCTTTTCATTTCCTTAATGGTCACTTTTTATGAACAGAAGTTCTTGAATAAAATCTAATTTATCACTCTTTTTATAGTGTCTTGGGTATCCCATTTAAATGTTCTCTCAAGATCATGAAGATACTTCCCTCTTTTTTCTTCCAGAAATTTGATGTTTCTGTTTTCTCATTTAAGTCAGTGGTTCATCTCAAATAAATTTTTGTGTGAGATGTGAGGTAAAGGTCAAAGGTGTTTTTTTTTTTTCATTTAAAATATGGATATACAGTTGATCTAGCACCATTTGTTAAAAGACTATTTTCCCACTGAATTGTAGTGTCATCTTTGTTGAAAATCAGGTGACCTCTATATGTATGGGTCTATTTCTAGCCTCTATTCTAATCTATAAAATAGAAAGCTGCCTTGGTTACTGTAGCTTCAAAGAAAATCTTGAAGTTAGGTAATGTGAATTCTTCACACTTGTTCCTCTTTGACAAGGCTGTTTTGGTTATACTAGATCTTCTGTGTTTTCCTATGAATTTTAGAATCAGCTTGTCAATTTCCCCTCATCAAACTTGCTGACATTTTGATTGGGATTATGTTGAATTTATAGATCAATTTGGGGAGAAATGAAGTTTTACTGAGTCTTCCAGTCTATGAACATGTATATCCCTTTACTTACTTAGTTTTTAAAATTTCTCCTTCTAATAGTGCTTTGAGATTTTCAGTGTAAAATTCTTGCATATCTTTTGTTACTTTGATCCCTAGGTGTTTGGTATTTTGTGCTAATTAAAAGGGACTGTTCTTTTTTAAAATTGGAATGCTTTTATTTCATTTTCCAATCTTTTGCTAGTATAGTAAAATACAATTGATTTTTGTGTATTTACATTATATCCAGCAACTTTACTAAACTCATTTATTTCTATAGTGTGTCTGTAGATTCTTACGTATTTTTATGTATACAAGCAGATCATCTGAAATAGTTGTAGTTTTATTTCTTCTTTTCTAATCTTTATAGCTTTTATTTCTGTTTCCTGCCTAATTGCAGTAGCTAGGATGTGCAGTTCTAGGTTGAGTAGAAGTTGTGATACTGAATGTGCTTTTCTTATTTCCCTTGTTAAAGGGAAGACTATATTACATAATTAAATAAGATGTTAATTATAGTTTATTCATTTGTTTATTATAGATATTATCACACCAAGGAGGTTTTCTTCTATTCCAGTTTTCTGAGGTTTATTTGTGTGTGTGTGTGTGTGTATAAAGTTACGGAATTTTATCAGATTTTTTTTCCTGCAAAGATTGAGATGTTATGTGATTCTTCTTTATTCTGTTAATAATGTTAATTATATCTATAGATTGATTTTTTTCAATATTGAGCCCAATTTTTATTCCTGGGATAAACTTTACTTGGACACCATGTATTCATGTGTGTGTGTGTGTGTGTGTGTGTGATTCTATTCATTGTCATATTCTCAGGAGCTTTGTTTCTATGTATATTGTATACCTCATATTCATGAGGTATACTGTGCAGCTAAATGCACACAATGTATTCTTTTTTTAAATTTTTTTACACCCAATGTATTCTTAATTACATATATTTTATTTTGTAATTCCTGAATTCCTGTTTGATTTTTTTATAGACTCTAATTCTGTTAAAATAACCTTTCTTCCATTTGTCCAACTTTTAGTCTATTTTTTAAAACATATTAATAGCAGTTATTTTGAAAGCCTTCTCGGCTGACTCCAGTATCTGGGTCATCTCGGGCTCTGTCTCTAGTGACTGTTTCACCTTATGCTTACCAGCCACTTTTACGTGATTCTTTGCCTGTTTAGAGTATAGGTTCTAATTCTATGCAGAATATTGTGACTAGGACACAGTAGAAGCTATAGATTGTGTCACCCCCCTTTAGATAATGCTACATTTGTCGTGATAGGCAGTTAGAACACTAGTGAAACCACCTAGAATTTACCGCAGCTCGGTTTGGGCCTTGGTTAGGGCAGGTATCGTCTAGTTCTTCCCTCACTCCTAGGGTGCTTCCCTGATGGTTCAGACAGTAAAGAGTCTGACAGCAATGCGGGAAGATGCCCTGGAGAAGGGAATGGCTGCCTACTCCAGAATTTCTGCCTGGAGAATTCCATGAACAGAGGGGACTGGCAGGCTACAGTCCTTGGGGTCACAAAGAGTTGGACACGACTGTGCGATTAACACTTCCTTTCACTTACTCCTAAGGCGCAGTCTTTACCCCTAGGGCATGAATTAGGGGGATCTCAACTGAAAGCCCACAGCATTCATTAAAAAGTTTTTTTTTTTTTTCATTTATTTTTATTAGTTGGAGGCTAATTACTTTACATCATTGCAGTGGTTTTTGTCATACATTGAAATGAATTAGCCATGGATTTACATGTATTCCCCATCCCGGTCCCCCCTCCCACCTCCCTCTCCAAGCGATCCCTCTGGGTCTTCCCAGTGCACCAGGCCCGAGCACTTGTCTCATGCACCCAACCTGGGCTGGTGATCTGTTTCACCCTAGATAATATACGTGTTTCAATGCTGTTCTCTTGAAACATCCCACCCTCGCCTTCTCCCAGAGTCCACAAGTCTGTTCTATACATCGGAGTCTTTTTTTCTGTTTTGCATATAGGGTTATCGTTACCATCTTTCTAAATTCCATATATATGTGTTAGTATACTGTAATGGTCTTTATCTTTCTGGCTTACTTCGCTCTGTATAATGGGCTCCAGTTTCATCCATCTCATTAGAACTGATTCAAATGAATTCTTTTTAATGGCTGAGTAATATTCCATGGTGTAAATGTACCACAGCTTCCTCATCCTAAAAAGTATTTTTGACTAGGCATGAACACCAACATTTCCCAAGTACTGGGAAACCTCTAAAATCTCTGTCCCACTTCTCTGATAAACTTTTCAGAGTCTCACACCATACGCGCACAGCTTAGGGGTCGGCCAAGGACCCTTAGGGAAAACGTTAGCGGAGTTTGAGGGCCTTTTTCTCTGTGACTGTCTCCTTTCTACCTGCCCCCACCAAATCCTGGTCGTTTTTTCAGTCCCCGTTCCAATCCCTGTTTCCTCCACCCAGCAAGTCTGCGGTTCTGTCTGGACTCTCTGCAGCTTCCTGTTGCAGTTGCCTGTGCCGCAGCAGGAAAGTACCCCCATCGAGAAAGCGGAGAGGATGTGGGTTTAATGCCTGTGCTTCCCTTTATTCAAGTATTGAGCTCTGTATTGACTGCTGGCTGGTGCCTGAGTAGAATTGTTTCATACATTTTATCTAGCTTTCATAGTTGTTAATGGCCAGAATTCAAAGTCCTCTTTCATATTCTTTAATCAACTTAAATATCACTTTCCCTGAGAAACCTTCTCTGACCATCCCTTCCCATCACTAGATTAGTTGTACCCATCGAAATATATATTTTCTTTTTATAAGATTTATCAGATGGATAGTAACTGTCTGCTTTATTGTCTTACAGAAATCAGGGGTATGATGCTCAAAAGAACATACTTTGAAAGATTGAATTAATGGTTTGAACCTCTCTCAGCCAGCCCAGACATAAAAGGCACATCATCTATATTCTTTTCTTAACATTTATTTTGTTGAAGTATAGTTGATTTACAATATACTGTTAATTTCTACTGTACAGGAAAGTGATTACAGCATCCATATCCTTGACATGGTATGAAGAGTTAAAGATTAAATGGAACTGGCGTTTCTAAGATGGAATTTGTTTTGACCAATATTTGTTTATTAAGCTTCTGTTAATAAGTTTTACTAGACTCTGCAAAATATTGGTATGAGTGAGACTTGGTTTTACTCTCAAATAACACACAGGCTAGTTGAAGAATTGACCCTAAAATCCTTGAAACAATTAAAAAACAATGCAAGACAAAATACAACCTGGTGTTAATTATGTTCATCTTTGTAAGACCAGTTTCTCCATGAAGGCTTTCTGGATCCTTCTAGCCTAAAATGGCCTTCCCCTGCCCAAGCCCTCTCTCTCT